CAATATAAATTCAACATTCAATATTTTAACTTTTTAATAAAGAATGAATTTTCTTTATAATTTTTAATTATACAACTCAAATTTATTGTATAAAAGTTTCTGACATTTAAAATTTATAATATTGAGCATTAGAAACATTGAGTAATTAATCTCCCTGGTTGTATGAGTTTGGGTAGGGTTTTCAAGAGCAAAAGTAAATTGGTTGGCTATTAATAGGTGAATGCAATTTGTACTTTTTTCACTATTTTGTATAATACAAGTTTAAGATTAAGTTCCTTCAGGGACTTTTTCTCTTTAGACCGCCCTTTTTCCTTTTTTCCCTATAAAAAATAATTTATTATTTAAATGTAGGCAAAGTGAGAATGCTTGATTCAATTCTGAATTAAAATTGATTAGATAAAAAAGCTACAATATTAAAATTTAAAAGTTTAAATCAATTTTTTGGGGTGACAATTGTTATAGCTCACCACGAAGAGTAAATTCTTGATATTATTTTTATTATGAAATCAGTGATTTGAGAAGTGATTTGAGAAGTGATTTTAGATTGAGTAAATTTAAATTAATAGCTGGTTATACACCTAAGCACATTTTTGTCTTCATATTTTTGAACTTACAAATGTGAATCATAATGAACATATTTGAGACAGAGAACAAGTATAATATTTTCATAGATAGCAGCGGAATTAATCACATAATATACTTATGTATAACCTTTTAATTGTATTTTTTATATAGCACAGCAGTAGGGTATTTGCCTTGCATGGCGGCCGTCCCAGGCTAGCTGGGTTTGAAACCTCCGCCCCTCTCAGAGAGCCCGGCAAGCTACTGAGAGTATCTCACCCACAAGGCAAAGCCTGGCATGGTACCCGTGATGTATTCGATATGCCAAACACAGTAACAAGTCTCACAATGGAGATGTTACTGGGCCCACTTCAGCAAACCGATGAACAATGGGAGTACAGTGCTACAGTGCTATTATGAAAATGATCTTATTGTCCTGAAGTCACTATTTGGGGGTGTTGGGAGCTAGGGTGCTTTAAGCAGTGCTCAGTAAACTAGGGACCTTCCTTCTGATTCTCAGTCAACGTAGTTAATAGATGAATGCGAGGTCTAAGCTCAGGCACACATGGCTGTGCTACTCTGGATCTGCAGTGTCTGGAATTACCTGGTCCACCTTAAGGTGGCCATCCCTCAACGCAAAACCCAGGTGTCCTCAGAGGCCTCCAAGGTAGCACCAGAAAATCTTGTTGGACTATATGCTTCTGGGAATCAAACCATGGTTTGGCCTGGAAGCCTGTGCCTTAATTCCTGTGCTATTTCTCCAATCTCTGAAACAAATGTCAATGAATAGTAAAAAAGTGATTCTCTAAATTTCTCAATTTTTAAAGAAATCATGGTAAATGTGATGCCTACATATCCTTGAATGTAATATATAATATGATCACGATCACGATCATCCTGTTGTTCATGAATTGCCTCGAGCAGGCATCAGCAGTAACGTCTCCTTCGTCCTAGCCCTGAGATTTTAAAAAGTGCGATATTCAAGGCTCTTTCAGTGTTAGGAGAATGAGACACATCATTGTTACTGGGATTTGGCATATTGTGTACACCACGGGGAGTTTGCCAGACTCTGCCGTTTGGGTAGGTTACATTCAGTAGTCTGCCAGGTTGTCCAAAGTAAGAATGAGATAGTAAGATGTCGTGTGGACAGCTCCTGGAAGAGAACAGCGCAGAGTCTCCTGCCCCCACATCTGGCTGTCCTTGCCGGGCTCCTTGGAGGAGGACGGGTTGAGTTTCCCTCAACAGAGCTCGGGCAGAGGTCTGGCAGCCGAAGACCTCCAGAACCAGCCACAACTATGCTGAGATAATATGAGCAGTTTTCAATATTTCTTTATAGTATTGATAGAGAACCATGTCTAATTGATTATGGTGATGATGATGATGATGATGATGATGATCAGATTACTGTGACTTCATTATTGCACAAATTTAAGTATTTGATAGTTAACTTAAGTTTTTTTTTTAATTTGGGGATTTGTTTGTTTGTGGAGGGGGACACTGTGGTGCTTAGTGCTTATTCCTAGCTCTGCGTTCATGAACGACTCCTGGCAGGGTTCTGGGTACAGTATGTGCTGATAGAGATCAAATCCAGTTAGGCTAAGAACAAGCAAGACAAGTGTCATGCTATTCACTATACTGTCCCTCTGCCCCAGTGACTTTTTTTCAAAGAATGATGATAACAGCATACATCTTTATGTAGATATTTGAAGTCTCCCCATTGGCTCCTGTAATGTCCATTGAGACAATTTATAGTTCTTCATTTACCCCACAGGTACCATCATTTACTCTAAAGCAATTATTTTAAATCTTTTTTTTCACAAATGGTATAGTACTATGTCCAGTTCATACACTGATAAGCTGCACTCTAAGACTGTCATTAAGCAATATTAGAAATTAATTTTTAACTTTAGATCTATCTAAATAGCAGTTCATTTCTCTGATAAGTAAGTGGACAGCCTCTGCAAATCAGTGTGTCAGGGAGCTGCAGTCATGGTACCTGGAAGATGGGTTCTGGCAGTTCTGCTGCTGCAGCTCTCCTACACTGACTATGGATCCTGTGGAAAGATTCTGGTGTGGCCCGTTGACATGAGCCATTGGCTAAACTTAAAGATGATTCTGGAGAAACTTGCAGAGAGAGGCCATGAGGTGACTGTATTGGTTCCTTCAAACACTGTTATCATTGACTACAACAAGCCTTCCATACTCAACTTTGAAGTCATCTCTATGGAAAATAGCAAAGAAAATACTACAGAAGTATTGGATGAAATTCTAGATACAATATCCAATGTCATGCCAACATTACCACTCTGGAAGTCAGTAATCAAGCTAAGAGAAATCATGGTTCAACGTACGGAAGTCTTAAAACTGCAGTGTGAGAATGTGGTCTACAATGAAACAGTCATGAAGAAACTTCAGGAAACCAAGTATGATGCAATGGTTATAGATCCTGTGATTCCCTGTGGAGAGCTGATAGCTGAGTTGCTGGGAGTACCGTTTATATACACTTTAAGATTCTCGTTTGGTCACATTTTTGAGAAATACTGTGCAAAACTTCCAGTTCCATCTTCCTATATACCTACTCCCATGACAAGCCTAACTGATAAAATGACCTTTCTGGAAAGAGTAAAAAACTTTATGTTTTCTGTCTTATCTGACCTTTGGATGAATCAATTTGATGATTTGGGAAAGGTTTGGGACAAGTTGTACAGCGAAGCATTAGGTAAGAAACTCTTGCATTCTAAATAAATCACCAACTGATTCTTAGGTGGTTTAATTCTAGAGAAAAATATAGTGACAGATTTGAATTTATCTAAATTTTTAGTTTTGTATCTATAGTAGATTAGATAATCAACTTTTACATTTTGGTTTTCCAATTTTATTTCCTTTATTTTTTCTAGACTTTGTCACTATATATTGGCCTATAAATATATAATCTCAATGAATAGCTTAAACCTGCTATTTTTTAAAAAATATTATTTTACTACTTACATGTAAAATTTTACTTAGAAAGTTAGTAATCAGGCAGAATGTCACACCATGAAACAAGACATCAAAAATATATGAAAACTTTAGTGGGGGGAGTTGCTTATTTGGAGGTCACACCTTGCAGTGCTCAGGTGTTATTCGTGGTTTTGAACTCAGAAATTATACCTAGTAGTGCTAAGGGAACCCTCTAAGATGCCAGGGGTTGAATAAAGGGAGGTCATATGAAAAACCAGCACCCTATGTGCTATACTATCTCTCTAGCCAACTAAGGATATAAATGTGTTATTATGAAACTTGTGAGGTGACTATCTCCTATAATCTCCATAGGTGTAAATATTAGTGTCCTTGAGAAATATTTGCCCATTACTAAAAATTTTGATAAAAAGTATGTCCACATTATCAGAAATTATTTGATCATATAACCTTATAAACATGTTGTATCACTACAAAGTAATCAAGGAAAGATAATATATTCTACTGTGCATATGATAATCAATTTTGACTTAATCCCTAAGGATTCCTTTTCTTTACATAGTACATTCTTTCTTTATATAAAGACTTCCTTTTTCATTTGCACTAGTCACAATTAATATATGACTTTATAAATACATATATATATATAAAACACTTTAAAAAATATCAAAGTTGTTTCAGTGATTGCACCTCATCTTGCTGTGCTGAGGAGTTTCTCCTGACTCTTCACTCAGGTATTGCTCCTAGTGGGGCTTCAGGGGTCCTTAATATCTTTGGGGAGAAATCAGGTTACCTGCATGCAAGTCAAGCACCCTACCCACTGTACTATCTCTACACCCTTTCAAAAGTAGAGTTTAAAGGTAACACTAAAATAAGTATACAATGTAGGTGACGTGTTGCCTGTGTAAGTCATGTTCCAAATGGAGATATTATTAGCTTGCTCATGAGTTATATGGGAATTTCTGCTGAGAAAAGAATGACAAATAAAAATAACAGAATTTGACTCAGAAAGGTATACTGACATTGGTAGGATTCTTCAACAATCTGACTAAAGTAGATACAAGGAGTGAAAAGTAATCTAAAAATAGAAATCCATTAAGAAGTGATGTGGCATTGACATAAAGGAACCATTCTATGATAAACCATTTCAATAGATAGAAAAGAGTATAAAGTTCATCAATACTTAGAATGTGACTGAATTTTGATTGACTTTATTTTTTCCCAGTATCTTTATACTGTACTTGTTGCTTTACTACCCAAATATTATCCTTCCCTTCTCACATTCCAACGTTTCTTCCTCCTCTTTTCTCTCTTTCCCCTTCCCTTCTTCTTTTCTACCTATTTCTTCTTCATTACTTTAATTTCCCCTTCCTTTTAACATACAGGTATGATAAGAAACATACAGGTAATCTGAACATTAAAATTAAAGTTCTTTTCCAAATATGCTAATAGATTCCACCCAACTTTATTAATTTTTTTAGGAAGACCCACTACACTATGTGAGACGATGGGAAAAGCAGAAATTTGGCTAATGCGTACATACTGGGATTTTGAGTTTCCTCGCCCTTACTTACCTAATTTTGAATTTGTTGGAGGACTACATTGTAAGCCTGCTAAGCCATTACCTAAGGTAGGTCTATTACTATAGAAGATTTTATATGCCTTGGGGTAATTTCTTTATTTTCCTCTTGAATTTTTGCCTCAATAATAAAAGTGTTTTATTCAAAAACTATTTTAAGTCATGAGAATTTCTTATAAGTGCCATCTTTTTTTTCACTTAATATTTGTTTGGGAGGAGAGGAGGTATTTAGACTATACCTGTGGTGCTCAGAGCTTTCTTTCAGTTCTGTGCTTGGGGGGGTCATTCTATCATTTCTGGGAACCATGGGGTGCACGGGATCAAACGGTGCATGCAAAGCAAGCAATGTGACTTCAATATTTTGATAGTCCTTATTTTGATATTTAATCTGAATTTCAAATAGTGTATTAAAACCATCATGGTGACCATATGATAGGCAGGAATAAGAACAGAGAGTCGTGGAAATCACCCATGGGACTGAGGTAGTCTTCCTAAAAAGCATAATAAAATTTTGAAGAGGCACATTTACTCATGCACAATTGCATCATATAATTTTTTGAGTGATAAAGAAGCTCTTGTGAAAATTCTTGAGTAGATTTCTTAAGCTTTGTTAGTGAAAAAAAAAGTATTGTCAAAATACTTGAAATAAAGTAGGTGAACTTTAGATAATGGTTATCTTTACATATATTAAAACAATTTTTAACAAACTTTTTAGAAGATGATTATAAGTTCAGGTTTTAGGGACTGGACAGTTCAGCAGGTAGAACACTTGCTTTGTATTTGGCCTAAACAGGGTTGATCCCAGCACTACATATGAACCCCCTGACTTCACCAGAAGTATCTCAGTAGTTTATAAGTGGTATTTTAAAAATTCATTTGGGTAACACAAGGTTTCAATTCTGACAGAGAGCATTAGAAATAGACTGAGTACTATTAATATAAAGTAGTCATTAGAGAGCTGCAAGGACCCAAAAGCTGAATTGGTTCTTTTTGTCTATGATGTAAAGATTCATGAATGAAAGAAAAAGTTGCAGTGTCAATGACAGTTATTAAAGAATTAATATTGACAAACAAATTTGGGGAAATAGAGTTTAACATTTGGCAAAGATGGTAAAAATCACTGTCACTGTCACTATCCTCCCATTGTTCATCGATTTGCTCAAGCGGGCCCAGTAAAGTCTCCATTGTGACACTTTTTGGAATATCAAATACTTCATGGGTAGCTCTCTAGTCTTTGCCATTCGGGTGGCTCTCTGAGAGGGGCAGAGGAATTGAACCTGGGTTGGCTGGGTCAGCCGCGTGCAAGGCAAACGCCCTACCCCCTGTGTTATCACTCCAACCTATAGTAAGAATATATATCTAATTATTTTAGTCAACAGGGATGACTTGGCAGACCTACTTTCAGAGTTACAGATAAAGAGACCCTGTAAAAGACTCTGTATAAGAGATAAAATTGCAATGTCATAAGATTTCTGGATATCTGTCTAGAGTAAAACTAGGGTCAGATTAAAATTTGAGTTTAGAATTTCATTAAAAAGGCCCTCCCGTTGATCATCGATTTGCTCGAGCGGGCCCAGTAATGTCTCCATTGGAGACTTTGTTGTTACTGTGTCTGGCATATCGAATACTCTCGGTAGCTTGCCGGGCTCTCCGAGAGGGGCGGAGGAATTGAACTCGGGTCGGCCATGTTGGCTGTGTGCAAGGCAGACGCCCTACCACCCTGAACGCGCCCGATCTCGTCTGATCTCGGAAGCTAAGCAGGGTTGGGCCTGGTTAGTACTTGGATGGGAGAATTTCATTATAGTATCTAAATATATTTTTTGTTTTTCCCATTAGTTTACTTTTTCAGAAAAGCCATTGACTATTATTATAGAAGATAACAAGCCAATGCCTAAATAAAGGTACAGAGACAAAGCATATCCTGTGATTCACTGCATAACACCCTTTATATTTCTACTATTTTCCACACGCAAACATTTTAACAAAATTTATGCTGGTGTTTTTACAAGAGGGAAAAGGTATTATTTCCTTTCAAACTCAACTACTAGTAGAGATATTTAGATGGTGTGAAAAAAAATGGCTTATACTTCTGGTGAAAAAGTTATGTCAGTCAGGGATTAAAAACTGCAAAACAGGGGCTGGAGCAATATCAAGGCAGGTAGGGCATTTGCCTTGCATGCGGCCGACCAGGGTTCCCAGCATACCATATGGTCCCCTGAGCACCACTAGGGCTAATTCCTGAATGCAGAGCCAGCAGTTACCACTGTGCATTGGCAGTTGTGACCCAAAAAGAAAAAAAGTAAAAGAATGCAAAACAATGAAAGTGAATCAAATCAAAACTTCATATCATACAGATAAATTTGTAAGTTTTTATAAACATGGGTGTTTATGAGCACATTTTTATGGGTACCTTTTAATCACCCTCTGCATAGAGGAGAAATCAAAATGGGAAAACAATTTTTTGGGATTTCAAAGATATTATCCAAATATTTGATGAGATTAAAAATAGTTGTTTATTTAATCTATTACCTTCTTCTACTTCAATTTTACTAGTCTTAAACTGAAAAACAGTGTTTGAAGAACTACAAATAGTTGTACAAGAAATTTATGACACTCTATATATGGTGACGTTTGCATAGATTTTAATATAAAAAAATCTAAATGCCAAGATAGAGAGATGGCCCAAAGATTAAGGTGTTTGTCTTTGACATTACTGACCTAGGATCAATTCCCATAGCCTATATAGTCCCCTGAGTAAGTACGGCTGGACATGGGCTAGAAAGGAAATAATAGTAAAACATTTTAAATCCAAATCCAGATTTTGTATCTCTCAACATTAAAATTACGTATGAGTAAGAGAGCTTATTTTCATAAATATATATATACATATATATTACCTCCATGCAAAGATTGTTATGATTTCCAGATAGAGTCATATTTTTATAGAATGGCAGATAAATACCATCTGATAACTGTCATCAAAATTACAGCAGAATATGTTCATCACATTTTGATTTGTTACTTTATAGCTCATTTTCAGTACAACTCCTTTTAAACCTATTAATAAGAATAAATGTAAACATGAATAAATATTTTGAATGCAGGAAGTTGGCTCAATTTATCAATAGTTCATTAGATTCCAAATGGGATGCTAAAAATTTATAAGGTATTTTATAGGATCCCTTTTTTGGGATTCCTTCCAAAATATATACTTTAGTTTGCAAAGAACTATGCAGATTCATAAAATTAAGTGTTGGGAATATCAGTTCCATAAAAATCTCTATTTCTTGATTCTTGTTTATTTTGGTTTCATGCATTTATTTTTGATCTTGGTAAATATTTGTCATTGTATTTAGAAATGGATTTTCTCTTGTTTCCTCTTTTTAAAAAAAAATGTTAACACTGGTTTACAAAGTTGTTCATAATACAGTTGCTTCAAGCATTCAATGTTTAAACACCAATTCTACCACAGTATGACCTTCTCTCCATCATTGTCCCTTTTCCCACCAACTCTTCAAACCTGCTCCCTAGCATGTACAGATGACTTATTTGGTACTAAGTTTTTTCTTCTTAGGGACTATAGATGATTCTGTGTGGTGGAGCACAGACTATGCTAACAATGTCTTACGTTTGTCTTCATCCTGCATCTTTCAAAGTGTCATTAATTCTCCTTCCATACCTACCCTGTAATCTTTCTTTTTTTCTTAATGAAATTTTTTTTTCATCTTAGGAAATGGAAGAATTTGCCCAAAGTTCAGGTAAAGATGGTATTGTGGTGTTTTCTTTGGGGTCAATGGTCAAAAACCTCACAGATGAAAAAGCCAACCTCATTGCTTCAGCCCTTGCCCAGATTCCACAGAAGGTCAGTACACACTTGAATCCAGGTCAGCTACTATTTTTCAAGTTGAAAATAGCACTGTAGCATTGTCTTTCCATTGTTCATCGATTTGCTTGAGTGGGCACCAGTAATGTCTCCACTGTGAGACTTGTTCTTACTGTTTTTGGCATATCTAATATGTCACGGGGAGCTTGCCAGGCTCTGCCATGTGTGTGATATACTCTTCATAGCTTGCCGGGCTCTCTGAGAGGACAGAGGAATCGAACCCGGGCCGGACGCTTACAAGGCAAACACCCTACCCGCTGTGTTATTGCTCCAGCCCCTACCAAACAAAAAACAAAACCTGGGCTCGGGAGAAACAGTACAGCAGGTAGGAGCTGGCCAAAAGTTGAAAATAGGGTGGGTTTTATATATTTCACTGACCATAACTGAGACACAGTATAGTAAACAGTTCAACTGGTACTGACTTTAAGTAAAAATTTCTCCAAACACTGAAACAGTGTATTTGGCCCCATTTATCATTTTTATGGAAGAGTATCCTTTTTTGAAGTTATTCATTTTCAGTAAACTGAAAGTGTCAATATCCTAATAGCATTTACCATTAGAAAATTTATTAAATGTACTGACCATTCCCAAAAGTTCTGCAATGTCTGAGACATAAAGTAGAAGAATGTTCAAGGTTACGCTTTACACCTCTGTGTCTTATTAGACCTCCAACAAAGTGTAGTTGATGTAGAGAAACATATTTATGAATTGAATTTCTATAATTAGAAAAGAATAATACTAATGTCAGGTAACTTATATTTTCTAATATACCATATACAATTATCTTTAATTTTTGTCATTACAATTCTAGGTTTCTACTCTTGATTTATGAAATATCCTAGGAGTCTTTATTTCTGCATTAAAGTATGTTCAAAACTCTAAATGTAAATGACACATATTTTACTAACTTACCCTGTTAAAACTTTGAATTTGAGAGTGAGGGATTTAGTCAGAGTATATTTCACACATCTATGACATCCTGGGTTTAATCCAAAATTTTGGATTTTTAATTATAAATGCTTTTATTAAAGATTTTCTTTCTTATTTTTCATTTTATCTGAAATTTGTCTTACAAGGTATCCAAAAGAAGAAAAATAACATTATAACCAAATATTTCACTTAGTAATGTAACAGAAAAAAATATATACCTCATTCTCCTTTTAAAGCATAGGAACGAAGGAAATGTCAAAAATCAGTAATCAGACAATAATTCCAGCTTGAATGGTTGAGCATTTATACTTGAAAAATTAAAACACTTTTTCCCACAGGTTTTGTGGAGATACAAAGGCAAGACACCAGATACATTAGGAGCCAATACTAGACTATTTGATTGGCTGCCTCAGAATGATCTTCTTGGTAAGAAGGGGGGAGCACTATTGTACCATGGATAATGGTAACTTAAGTAACTGTTTCCCACCAAGTAATTCCAACAACTAATAACTTTAAATTTTCACTATTTCAAGATTTTTCTTTTTAATTTTTTAAAAATAAGGCGACTAGCGGCTGGAGTGATAGCACAGCAGGCAGGATTCAATTCCTGAGGACTTCCAGGAGTGCATGTGACAGGAGTTAGCCCTGTGCATTGCTGGGTGTGACCCAAAAAGAAAAAAATAAAATAAAAATGCGGTGACTTGACTTGCTCTAGTGTGAATGTTTGTGACATTTTTCTCTGTCTAGTTGGCTTTTGGTTTGGGAGCCACTATTCAGGGATTACTCCTGCCTCTGTGTTCAGGAATCATTACTGGCAGGACTGGGGGCCATGGCCATGGGGTGCCTGAGATGAGATGAGCTGCACGAGAGGCAAGTGCTTGTCCTGCTGTGCTCTCTTCAGCCCTGATGTTTATGGGTTTTAAATGTACAATGTTACTATACCACAACCCACCCTCAAAGTTTTTCCATAACAGTACCAAGCTCAGTGGTTTATTTCAACTCACTCATCACTATGATAACCACAATTCTTCTGTTAGGGGCTAAGTGTTTGTTTTCACTAGACATTATCTCTTCATTTGTCTATCTATCTATCTATCTATCTATCTATCTATCTATCTATAATCTATCTATCTATCTACCTATCTACCTATCTATCTATCTATCTACACCACATATACACCATCTTTTCACATATATATACATATATATATATATTCCACATTAAAGTGAGGTTAGCTCTTTACTTATTTTTTCTCATGATGTCTTCTTTCATTTGGCATGATAGTTGATAATTTCAGGTTCCTTCAATGTTGTAACAAGAGGCAAGATTTCATTTTTTTCTAAAATCTTAGTACTGGGACCACAGAGACAGCACAAGGTAAAGCAGTCCCCTTGCACACAATCTACTCAGGTTCAATCCTCAGTTCCCAAGTACGGGCAGGAGTAGTTCTTGAGTGCAGAGTAAAAAGTAACCCCTGAGCAGCTCCACGTGTGGTCCAAAATCCCACACACATATACAAAAGCTTAGTATTATTCAAACTTTGTACATGTAAGATGAATACATGTATGATTATTCGCACATTTATCTATTATTGAGTCTTTGAGATTTTTTAAAATATAATGGCTATTTTCAATACCATAGTGATGAACAAAGATTTATATATACTTTAGAGGTTAGTAGTCTTTGTTGTTGTTTTGACCAATACTAAGAATTCTGGATCTTGTGGCAGCTTTATGTTTAATTTATTAAGAAATATCTATATTGCTTTTCATAGAGATTGGATCAACTTACATTCCCACCATTAGTTCATGAGAGTTCCTTTTTTATATAGACCATTCTTACATGTGTGACGTGAAATGGAAAGAACTCAGCACATCATAGTAAAAGGCATATACAACAAATATACATTCAACATATTCAATGCTGAAAAATATTGAAAAACTCAAAACTAATATCAGGTAGAAGACATAGATGTTACTATATAATTCAACATAGTATTGGAAGTCATAACCACATAATTCAGCAAGAAAAATAAATTAAAGGGAAAATTTTCTAAATTGTAAAAACAAGGAGCCATACTGCAGTGAGCAGTGTTATTGCCTAGCACATGGCTGACCCAGGTTCAATCATTGGCACCCTGTATGGTCCCCAAGTCTAGGCAGGAGTAATCCCTGAGTGCAGAACCATGAGTAAGCAAGATCACCACTGGGTGTGATCCCAAAAATCAAAACAACCAATAAACTCATTACTTGTAGATGTCATGATCACAAATGTGAGATACTCCACTGGAATTTTTAGAAACACTAGACCACTATAGTAAGGTGACAGTCTATAAAGCCAATATACAAAATTTATTTCGGGGCTGGAGAGATAGCACAGCGGGTAGGGCGTTTGCCTTGCACGCAGTCAACATGGCCAACCCTGGTTTGATTCCCAGCATCCCATATGATCCCCTGAGCACTGCCAGAAGTAATTCCTGAGTGCATGAGCCAGGAGTAACCCCTGAACATCGCTGTGTGTGACCCAAAAAGCAAAAAAAAAATTATTTCATTTTTATATGTACACAATAACCCAGCTCTGTAGCACTGTAGCACTATCCTCCCTTTGTTCATTGATTTGCTCAAGCCGGCACCAGTAACGTCTCCATTGTGAGATTTGTGTTATTGTTTTTGGCATATCAAATACGCCACGGGTAGCTTGCCAGGCTCTGCCGTGCAGGCAGGATACTCTCAGTAGCTTGACGGGCTCTCCGAGAGGGGTGGAAGAATCGAACCCTGGTTGGCCGCGTGCAAGGCAACCTTACCTGGGTTATAGCCTTACACGCTGTGCTACCCAGAAGTGAAAAAAATCAAGAAATCAGGGGAAAGAAATCTGTCCCACTGGCAGTTGCCTCAAAAAGAATTAATTTTCTAGATAACAGCTTGAAAAGGAGATAAGGAGATAAAACATTTCTATATTAGAAACTAGAATTCAATGTTGAAGAGAATAGACAAAAAATAGAAAATAGTCACAATCATTGATTGAAGAATTAACACCATTCCCAGTTTTAAGGCAAATATAATTTTTAAATGGCCATTATTATATGTTAATTTTTATGTGAGTCATAAAAGGAAAACTTGATTAGGACTAATTATTGTCAAATTTCTGTCTTACTTCAGATATCTTCTCTTCAATTAAGTCTTTCCACAAAATTAGAGTTAGTTAAATTCTCCTCTTCCTGGAATCCTAGTTTCATGACAGTAAGATCCCATATATTCAGTTTTTATATTTAAAAATATTGCTTTATTCTTTGAGCTATCCTACATTTCTCTCCAACTCTATGAATCTTGTTAATGAAATAAAAAATATCACTTTGAGGGTGGGGAGGCGGTGAAAAAAAAGAAAACAAATCCCCCATTTTTTTTCAATCCCTTAATTAGGACACCCCAAAACAAAAGCTTTCATCACTCATGGTGGAACCAATGGGATCTACGAAGCAATTTATCATGGCGTTCCAATGGTGGGAGTTCCCATGTTCGCGGATCAACCTGACAACATTGCTCACATGAAGGCAAAAGGAGCAGCGGTGGAGGTTAACATAAACACAATGACAAGTGCAGACTTGCTCAATGCCTTAAGAACAGTCATAAATGAACCTTCGTAAGTATCACTGGCTTGCAAATTTATGTTACTCTTCATAAGATAATATTATAGCTTGGGGTCCACGTTGATGGTACTTCGTGGGGGGGGGGGGCTACTCATGTCTCTGTGCTTGCGACTTGCTTCTGGCAATGCTTAGAGAGTCAAGTGGTACCTGGGATTGAACCTGGAACCCAGCATGCAAAGCTTGCACTCAGCTTGTGGAGCTATCTCTTCGGCCCCTATAAAGATTTTCTTGTTTGTTTTTGAAATTCAAAACCTTAATCGCCATGTATTCTTGTATATTATTGTGTACATTTTCCACAATTTAGTGTTATTTGCATAATCTTAATATAAAATTAAATTATTATTTTTTACAAAGTGGCTTTTTTTTGCTGAGAGGTAATTGTGTATTTTGGGTTAAAACAGAAAATACTGATGTCTTAAATAAAGATAACAACAACTAAAAATAAATAGTACCTGTATGACATAAGAATAATTAAAAATGTTTCTATCAAAAATACTCTTGCATTTTTAGGCACTTGCCACTAAATTTTCTCCTCTCCAGGAGTTTTTGGCACTTACCACTAAATTTTCTTTCCTCTAAAACCAATCAGCCCAATAAACCAAGTATGAACTCTTTTTCAAAAATGAAATGTGTTATTTAGCTATATTCAAGTATCCCTTCAAAAGAATAAGCATAAAATGAAAATTATCAAGTTTTTTTAGTTTAATTTTTGTATCTTTTTAAGGACATCTATATTTGTCTTTTCTATAAAAATGGCTTCATTATTCCTTAAGATTTGATGTCTCATTTTTCTAATGAATTTCTACTTTTTAAATCTTTCTGAGATTGCCTTAGTCTATAAATTAACAAATTCTCTCTTTCGCATTGCTTGGTGAAAAGAGGTGTTTGTGGTTTTTTTTTTTTAATTATGTTGGTATTTTACTTTTTTTTGTTTCAGTGGAGCAAACAGTTTTTATTTTATTTTATTTTGCTTTTGGGGTCGCATCCAGCAATGTTCAGGGGTTAGTCCTGGCCCTGCACTCAGGAATCACTCCTGGTGGTGCCTGGGGAACCATATGGGATGCTGGGAATTGAACCCGGGTTGACCGCATGCAAGGCAAACGCCCTACCAGCTATGCTATTGCTCCAGCCCTGCAAATAGTTTTTATTGAAATAAATTTATGTAGAAATATGTAAGGGAAGAGAAAGAGGAATATGTGTTCAAGAGAGAACATGGATGGGCCTCTCCAGAATCGAAAGAGAAAGTGCAGAGGGGAGAAATGTGTGTTCAAGAGAGAATATGGACTTAAACAAGCAAGCTAAATTGTATTTTAAAGAAATGTTTAACAGATCTTCCATATCCCTTACCTTTCATCATATCTTGTTTTATAATCTGAATTTTTTAATATTATATATAATATTCACCTTATAATTATAATTCAAATATCTCCTTTTTAAAGTGGGTGCTACAGCTAATAACATTATACACCTGCCATTTTATACTTATCCCAAAATTGTTTAATTTAGTGTCAAAACATGCTTTTTGTTTCGCTCTCAGTATTTATGTATGAGCAGACTTTCATTTCACACATCTTTTTTTTTTAGTAAGACTTTTTTCAAATTTTATTTTATTAAAGTACCACAAGTTACCAAGTTGTTCATTGTTGAGTTTTTGACATACAATATTCCAGCACCAATCCCACCACTAGTATTAACTTCTCTTCACACTGTCCCCAGATTCCCTTTCCTACCACTCCCCAGGACTACCACCACCCCCACCCCCTGCCAGCCCCAGCTGACAGGTTGACAGGAACTTCTTAAGTTTAGTTATTAGAGTTTGAATCTCACAATTTCATTGTTGTTGACTCTGGAATTTAGATGTTTAACTCTATCATTCTTTACCAGCACTGATGTATACCTGAATCCCCTTGACCCCTGCCCCTATTACTTCTCATATATCTGTTACCCCCTTCTCCTTCACTCTATTTCTTTCCTTTTTCCTTTACCCTGTGACAAGGCACCACCCTCCCACTTCAAACTACTGCATTTCCTCATCCAGATACTCTAAGTATTACATGTAAGTAATATCATTCTATCACACATTTTTACTTATCCTTTGTTATTTTTAATAAAGTATATATTTTTAATTTGCTTAGTTTTACTGTTTGTTTGTTTGAGGGCCACTCTTGGTAGTACTCTGGACTTACTCCTGACTCTGTGCTCACTAGTCCTTCAGTCCAAGAAATAAATTTTATTTTTAGAGTCCTATGAACAAGTTAATAATACAGTACACATGCATTTCCTATTTTAAATCTTTCTTTAAAAGGAGAAAATCTTGAACAAAAATATGATGTGTAGCCAAAGGTTTATATTGGTATGCAGTTTAGCTAAAATATACTAGGATGAATTAAGTAAAATCACTGTTTTGACTCTATCTATATTTTCATTTTGCTGTAGCAGAGCAGACTACTCTCAACCACAAGTGAATTGCTCCTGTAGTATCATCTAGTGTACTATGTCTACTGGTATATGATGAACATATGCCTCCTTTCCTATTTTCGACAATATCCTGCTTGGTCTAGGACAAATCTTCACAGGCCATTTTATCTTCACATCCCACATGGGAGGAAAAATATGAGATATTGGCCACATGCAAGGCAAATGTCCTACCTGCTACACTATCATTCTGGCCTCTGATTAAATCTTTAAAGGACAGTTTTCCACAAGATTGTGTTATTCACAAACTTGGTCTTTGACCAAATATTTAAGACTACATTTTGGACAATAAAATTTCTCCTTGAAGGAACAAATAGGCTATATATTGACAATGAGCTTATTTCATTTATAATGTTTGTGTTTGACTGCATTCTGCTAAGAATATATTTCTTCTAGACTCTTCTTTTTTAAGACTGTAAGATTTTATTTTTTTGATTATTAATATATAAACATTAAAAGAATTTAAATAAGTCATATTATAATTTGCAATTTTATTGTTATTACAAATTTTTATTTAACTAAAGAACCATGATTTACAAAGTTGAGTTTTACTGATAGTTGGGTATTAGGCATATAATGTTCTAGTATCAATCCCACCACCAGTGTAAACTTCTTCTACCAGTGTTCCTGTGTCTTCCCACCCCCTATCCCCAACCCTCAATCTGCCACCTTAACAGGTACACTTTATAGTTTAGTGATTGTCATTTAGATATCATATTTCAGCATTGATGAGTCTGTGCTTTGGATGTCTAGCTGTACCACTCCTCCACATTACCAGTACACCCATGTCTCTGATCCCTCTTCCCCATTACCTCATTTTCTCATTTTCTCCCTGCCTTGCCTGCCACCATTACTTTTCTTCTTTGTCTTTCTTCTCCTTATACTATGAGGACAAGGGTAATCTACTATATTACTATATTGCACTTACTATATTGCATTTCCTCATTCAATTTACACCCTTGTCTTTACAGCTTTTAAAATGCTATGAACCCAACAAAGTTCGCAGAACAGCAATTCTTTTTCTCACGATATCAATAAAAATCTTTAATTTCCCGTATGTCTCTTTTTCATACCAGTTATAAAGAGAATGCCATGAGGTTGTCAAGGATTCACCATGATCAACCTCTAAAGCCCCTGGATCGAGCAGTCTTCTGGATCGAGTTCGTCATGCGCCACAAAGGAGCCAAACACCTGCGTCCAGCTGCACATAACCTCACGTGGTTCCAATACCACTCTCTGGATGTGATCGGCTTCCTGCTGGCCTGTGTGGCAGCTGCTCTGTTCTTGGTCACAAAATGTTGTTTGTTTACTTGTAAAAAATTTGGTAAGACAGGAAAGAAGAAAAAGAGGGACTAGAACTTTCTCATTTGGTAACGGCCTAAATTGGCAATCCTATTAATTTTTGCCCAATGGCTTTAGGGAAAATGCCTTTCTCAATCTTATCTCAAAATTCTTTACTTCTACACCTAAGCCTGAAGATAAATTCTAAGAGCCGTCAATTGCATTGACAGGGAAATCCCCTTCTTCCTTTATCCTTCGCCACATGAAAACATCCTTTTCTGCTCACTTTTCTGATGTGACTGTACTAATTATTCTATGCACATTATTTTTATCAAATCAACTTGTTCTTTGTCTTTAACCTTAAATGATATGCTGACAAATGTGTGCTGAATCCCAGAGCTACACAATATACGACTTGAATTTGATAAATTTAGAGAAACTCTCTAAATAAAATTTTAAGTTTACCCCATAACATACAATTCAATAAAACATCAAGGGGAATTTTCTAATGATAATCAGAATTTAGTTTTACATTAAAATAAGTCTTTCTGTTCTCCCAGTATTACTGCTTTGAGTCATAAATTAATATCTGTTAGGGCATTGGAAAGTGCTACCCATTTCTATTGAACACAAAAAGAGCTATGAATAGATAGTCATCAGTACTCTGCATTGTGAAAACATTAATAATAGTGGACAATGTTCAAACTTTTATCAATAATGTATTCTCATGTACAATCTTCAAAAAGGCAGATTAAGTCATTGTTTTTTTTCTCAAGGACAGAGAGTGTCAGCAATATGTTAAAGGTGAAAAGATTATTCTTAAAAGACATAGAAATAATCATTTTATGAAATTTTAAGTTGGCAAAATGATTTATGACTTTAAATTTCAATTAATTATATTTAAAATGACTAATACTCATAATCTATTATCTCCATAAGCAAAAGACTAGATCTGTTAAAAGTAAAGGTTTATTTGATATGAAAATTATTTTATTGCTTTCCAATTTTTAAGTTCTATAAATTTTGATCAACTAAGCATTGTGTCTAGGATATGAGAAATTAACATATTTGTTTGACTATGGATGTGATATAGTAAATACAAATGCAAAACACTTCAAATTTAAATCAGGTTAGGTTTGTATTTGACAAATTAAAAATTAAGTATTCTTCAACTTTTATAAATAAAATAATGCGTAACTATATTTTAAATTTCTGTATTTGAGACAAATGAGTTTGGTTTTCTGTAAATTTTGAAATAATCTTTCATTTCAATATGTTAGATTAAATTTCTATTTAAAATATATACCTTTCTAAAATGCAAATAAATTCTACAACTGATGGTTGAAGGCTCATTATGTATTTGTTAATATTACACTTTACCAGGCCTGGAAAGGGGGGTGGACAGTGTTTGGGGATACTTCCAGCTCTATGCCCAGAAATTTTTCCCTGTGATGCTTTGGGGACCATGTGGAACTGGGATTTAATCAGAATCAGCTGCATTCAAGGCAAACATCTTCCTCCTATTCTATCTCCTTGGCCCCTTGTTAATATCAGTACTTTAAAGAGGTGATTCAGATTGTTATGTTCAGACTTTGATAATTTTATCATGTTTCGAGAAGAACTATTTAAGATGAATCTATGTGAAGTAGGTTTTTTGCAAATAGAATGCAGTGAATCCATTGAGAAATGGTCTGGCCATCCATAGCACTGAGCACTTTAAAAATTTAGACAACGTTTGGTTCCTGAGTTTAGTCATCTGTTTTACAGAGGAGTTAAATCTGCTCAGAGTCCACAATTCATCCAATTTCTACCCTCCTGTTTTCTAATTATCTGCAAATGTCTCCTTTGTGTGTATATCACCAAATTCTGGCCAAAAAAAAAAAATTCTAGGTGATGCTAATCACATTGTTGTAACTGTTTCTTTGGAGAAAGGCTCGAAATCAACTCCCCTTAGCTGCCATTTGTAAAACTGAGATGCTTGGGAGGTCAAACTTCATACTCTGATTTATTTTGTTCATAAATATTGTGTGTCCCTTATTTTCTGGAAGTTTTTGTCAGACTTGAGTTTCCTACATGTTAAGAAGATCCAAATATTTATTTATTTTAAATCACTGGTAAAGGTAAAGGCCCTCCCGTTGATCGTCGATTTGCTCGAGCGGGCCCAGTAACGTCTCCATTGGAGACTTTGTTGTTACTGTGTCTGGCATATCGAATACTCCCGGTAGCTTGCCGGGCTCTCTGAGAGGGGCGGAGGAATCAAACTCGGGTCAGCCATGTTGGCCGCTTGTAAGGCAAACGCCCTACCGCTGTGCTATCGCTCCAGCCCTGGGATAACATATGTCCTCAGTCAGCTTTCTAGTGACTTTAGTGTGGCCTTAAATATTAAGTCACTATCATTGTCACTGTCCTCCCGTTGTTCATTGATTTGCTCGAGTGGGCCAACTAACGTCTCCATTGTGAGACTTGTTGTTACTGTGTTTGGCATATCAAATACGTCACAGTTAGCTTGCCAGCTTTGCCATGCGGGCAAGATACTCTAGGTAGCTTGCCGAACTCTCCGAGAGGGGCAGAGGAATCGAACTCAGATCGGCCGTGTCGGCCGCGTGCAAGGCAAACGCCCTACCAGGCATACATTTACCTAGACTTGCATGCCAGTGATTTAGTTTATCTTTGGTGTTTTGAACAATCACCACATCCGGGAGAGTAATATCTTCTTTGAATTCTGAATCGGAGCCTAAGATTCTCAAGTAGCACTTGTGTAAGCAACTCAAGCACATACTCCTGGTTAGGTGGGGAAGATTATTCTACTACTGAAAAATGCAACCTTGGGCCGGAGCAATAGTACAGCAAATAGGGCATATGCCTTGCACAGGCCAACCCAGGTTTGATGCTCGGCATCCCATATGGTCCCCCAAGCACTGCTAGGATTAATTCCTGAGTTCAGAGCCAGGAATAACCCCTGAGCATCACTGGGTGTGACCCAAAAAAGCAAAAAATGAAAAAAAAAAAGAAAGAAAAAAGCACCTTGAAAATGCTCTGCTGTGTGGACGGGATACTCTCGGTAGCTTTCTGTGCTCTCTAAGAGGGTTGGAGGCTTTTGGGGCAGCCTCTAATCACCTTTACAAGTGGTCCCAGTCATGCATATATGCGGGCAGGAGACTCTTGGTAGCCTGCTGGGTTCTCTGAGAGTGAGAACTAGACAATAAGAGGTCTTCCGGGAGCTTGGTTTTATAGTCTCTGGATCTTGGCCATTGATGGGGTAACACAGCAGTTGGTGGGTGTAACTGTCTAGCTACTGGAAGATGGGAAATCTAGGTGGAGGAGGCACAGTCCCAAACCAAGCAGACTTGGTGATCTCAGCCCCGGGTCCCGCACACCTGGGTTCCTCTGCCGGTTCCTTCATGCATGAAGCCCATCCTAGGGTGTGGAGTGTGGTCTCAGCATGGCTGTGGCTGGGTCTGGGAGGTCTTCAGCTGCCAAGGCTCTGCTCAGGGTGGAGAGGGAAATTCAATCTGCCCCCCTCCGAGGGGCTCCCATGAGGACAGCCAGGTGCGGGGGCAGGAGACTCTGCCTTGTTCTCTTCTGGGAGCTTGGTTTTATATTTACATTTACATATGCTATATATATATATATATATATATATATATATATATGGGATGGAGCGATAGCACAGTGGTAGGGCGTTTGCCTTACAAGCGGCCAACATGGCCGACCCGAGTTCGATTCCTCCGCCCCTCTCGGAGAGCCCGGCAAGCTACCGAGAGTATTCGATATGCCAAACACAGTAACAACAAAGTCTCCAATGGAGACGATCAACGGGAGGGCCTTTACTTTTACCTTTACTATATATGTATATATATATATGCTATTGTAAAACCTATCCAAAAAATGTAAAGCCATTTTCTTTAGAAAAAAATATCGGATGTATGTTAATTTTCCCTTTCAAAGACATTCAGTTAAATAGCATACATGAAATGCTTGGAATCCATAAATACAGCTCTAAATTTTATAGTATTTGACTCATACCAAGAATCAAGGAGTGTTTTAAGTACTATACAGTTAAAAAAGCGAAATTATAGAACATCCTAAAACTTTTCCCTGGAAAGAGTGAGGAGGTTGGTTGGAGTTGACAGAAAAGAAAGAATTCAAGGAGAAAATTCAGGATTATTTTATTTGACCAAAAAATTTAAGGATAAACAAGGTTTATTCACAAAGTATATTCAAGACTTAGCATGGTTTCAAGCATGACATACATAGATAGTCTCAAATTTGATTTTTCTGGAAATTGTTAATAATGGGAAATGTAACATAATTCTTACCTATACTAATTGTGTCATTGCTAATTTATTTAAGGTTTTTATGGAAAAGCATAATTATCTTTGTAAACTCTAACACTGATTTTGAACTAAAAACTACATATTTTATATGTTGCACTCATAACTATTCTTCAAAGTACATTCTGTAAATTTGATCTAAGTACCTGACAGCTTCTGCTTCTTTTCTCCCATTCATCTCAATTCCAGATGAAATTAAAATAAACTTTTATGAAAGTTTTTCTACGTATTCATAGACTTTCCATTAGTCAGAAGCATGTAGCACTGTATCACTGTCCTCCCATTGTTCATTGATTTGCTAGGCAGGCATTAGTAATGTCTCCATTGTGAGACCTGTTGCTGTTTTTGGCATATCAAATACACCATAGGGAGCTTGCCAGGCTTTGCCGTGCAGGCAGGATACTCTCGGTAGCTTGTCGGGCTCTCTGAGAGGGGAGGATGAATCAAACCCGGGTCAGTCGTGTGCAAGGCAAACGCCCTACCCACTGTGCTATTGCTCCAGTCCAGAGTCAGAAGCATGGTCCCCTTAAATATTTCTGAAAACACATGAAATTTATTAAATAGTTTTGCTGATGCTGTCTACGTTTCCATGACTTGAAATTCTATTGCCAAACTCAAGCAGCTTCTACATTGCAATTAATACCAATAGTTTATTATGGCCATTCCTCCAAACTTGTAACTGCATCCCAGTTAATCATAAGTCCTTGTGATCCTTGCACTTAATTATTTTTTTAACAGTTACAAAGCTTTCATGTTTGAATTTCAGTCAAACAATGATCAAACACTCATCCCTCCACCAGTGTATATTTTCCAAGACTCCCCACCCCATCCCATGCCTCCCCCTGCCTCTGTGGCAGACAATTTCCCTATTACTCTGTCTCTACTTTGGGGCATTATGGTTTGCAATACATATACTGAGAGACCACCATGTTTGGTTCTTTATCTACTTTCAGCACACATCTCCCACCCCGAGCGATTCTTGCAACCATCATTGACTTAGTGATTCCTTCTCTATCCTGCCTTTTCCTTTAGCTCATAAGGCAAGCTTCCAACTGTGGAGCAATCTTTCTGGCCCTTGTCTCTACTGTCCTTGGGTGTTAGTCTTATATTGTGTTATTTTATATTTGAATATATAACCTATTCTTAAGTGGACCTCTGAGATTCTCCCAACTATACCTGTTACTTGAATTAAACATAAACCAGAATATTTATCAGAGGTAGTAAAATAGAATTCCAGGTAATGAAAACAAAATGAAATAGTCCTTTGTGTGACAGGAATTTTCTAGCTTATTCTGTCCTAATCTATTCAATGAAGTAAAAAAAATAGAAACCAGGTTATAAAATATAAAGTAAGAAATAAGAGAAATTATATAATCAATGTTTATAAAGTTTAGTTCTCTATAGGAAAAAAGAAAATATGAAACATGAATTTTTCCATCACTGTCATATATAATAGATTATCACTGTCACTGTCCTGTCACTGTCCTCCCGTTTATCGATTTTCTTGAGCAGAACCAGTAACGTCTCCATTGTGAAACTTTGTTGTTACCGTGTTTGGCATATCGAGTACGTCATGGGTAGCTTGACAGGCTTTGCCATGCGGGAAAGATATTCTTGGTAGCTTGCCAGTCTCTCTGAGAGGGCCAGAGGAATCGAACTCGGGTTGGCCATGTTGGCTGCGTGCAAGGCAAATGCCCTACTGGCTGTGCTATAGCTCCAAACCATAATAGATTATATTTTGTAATATTTAAGAATATGTATAAGTGGGCTGGAGCAATAGCACAGCAGGTAGGGCATTTGCCTTGCATGCAGCTGACCCAGGTTCGATTCCTCCACCCTTCTTTGAGAGCCTGGAAAGCTACTGAGAGTATCCTGTCCACACGGCAGAGCCTGGAAAGCTCCCTGTAGTGTATTCAATATGCCAAACCCAGTAACGAGTTCTCACAATGGAGACGTTACTGGTGCCCGCTCAAGCAAATCAATGAACAATGGGAGGACAGTGCTACAGTGCTAGTAAA